AAGTCGTTACAGCAATGTCAGAATAAGCAACTTCCGGATACGTCAATTTTACTCAACTTCAGCAACTCCAGCAACCTCGGATATATTACGGCAAAATAAGCAGCGTCGGGCCTGGCGCTACCGAGTTTAGCCTCTCGCAACCGACTGGTGATCTGGCGCTTGTCATTGGTCGGATGTAGAAGCTCCAGGAGGCGCAGGTTCTCCAGAGCGGAGAGGATGACGATGAAACAAGCTGCGGTGACCGCGGCTAGCGTATGGTCCAGTGAACGCTGTTTGCAGATAGTGGGTGGTACGAAGTGAGCTTCTCTCAAGCTCATCCGCTTCAATTTACGTCACATATATGCCGTAAGGCTACAGCAGCCTACACTTAAGCAGTACCTGGTTATTTCTACTTGTCGTAGCTCGGGCTCTTCAGTGGCAATTCACGGGGCCTTTCAGGAAAGTGGAGACAGGATTATTGGGCTACAGGTTGAACGTGGGGACTGGGCATTATAACTTAGGGGGAACTGATGAAGGCCGATAAAGCCTCAGCGGCGCGGCGGCGGAGATCGAAGTGGCTCAAGACGCAGAGATGTGCTACAACGACGAAGTCTTCACGCCCCACATGAGCTGTTCGCGAGATCATAAAAAAGCACCCTTAACATTGTCGTTGACTTTTCGAGTGTGTAATAATTACCGTCAAATTTTAAGTTTGCCAAAAATAATCGACGCGTACAGTACAATCTCAACTAATTACGACAAATAGTAGCCGTTGGAGTTTAGGAGCTTATTCGAGAAAACGCGCCACGCGCCAGAAGATCTCGCGCGAACGTTTCTGCGCGCTTTTCCCGCGAAGGTTAATCGCCCGTCACTAGAAGATCGCAACGCGAAGCCGACCCTTGAAAGTGCACTCCGCAAACAATGTCTGATGGTACGTACATCTAGCACCTTGTTTGGTTTATTTGAGGTTTTCCGACACGTGCTGTTACCATTTAAAGACGAAAATGATGACCGCTCGTTTTTCAGCGACGACGACAGCGACGAAGCCTTCGAGCCTGCGAGCGATTCGAGCGACACTTTGCAGTGCATTCTGGACGAAATTGGTATGAGTCTTGATTTGGTGTATGCAGAATTCCGACTCAAGCTCACTTTATCGATCGTTTTTACGAATAGATGCAGCCCGTACAGGACGCAATGGGCGAGGTTCGTTCCTCTATGCGCTAGAATTGTAGACATTGCATGAGATGTGACTAATTGCGATAAAACTTTGTTTCAGCTCCACGCGCACATCATAGACCAAGAAATCAAGCGTCCAAGCGGAAAAAGAGTCGGGCGCAGCGAGTGAAAAGGCCAGAGAAACGTCGGAGACGTCGAATCTACGTGGATATTATTGGTAGCGGCGCAGAAAGCGTCGCGGAGACTTCGTTTCTGCCATCAAGTGACGAAGAGCATTGTGGTGACCAGGACCAAGGCGTGGATGTGCACGTCCAAGACCCCAGCGCCGCACACCCCGAGTTTGACGCACGGAATCTTATCCAGAGCGAGTGGAGATGGAGATGTCTCGAGTGGGCGTTGTGAACAAGATTCCTCCGATGCCGATGCTTGTTTTTTTCGTTGTGGAAGGAGCTTCTTCTGGAAAAATACTGCCGCGATCATTTCATGTTGCACAGAGCCCGAGATACTAGAACCGTGAGGAACACAATACGTGAGTCTATTTTTTAAAAACGTTATTTTAATTTACACTGACGAGTTGATATGATCGCTGTAGCTTTAGCGATCTTTAAATTCCTCTAAAGACGGAGTACAGCTACAAGGTGTTTCGCTGCACTCATGGCTGTCCGCAGAAATCTCGCAGTAAAGGTCAGAGTAGTACTCCTAGTCGATACACCGGATGCAATACTCGTTTTACTGCTACTGTAAAGAACATGGCAGAGAAAGGACAGGATGAAGAGTGGCGATTATTTTGCAAACTGGGTAAGCATTATCAGGTGTAACGATGAAACATAATATCACCTAACATAATATTACTGCCTAGACCTGGACACACAATCACCGCGCAAATGCGACGATCTACGCGAGCTACTTTGGTGCTGGATCAATTCCAGAAAATAGTCTGGTATTTGAGCAAGTTGGTCTTCTTGCTGATGCCAACACTGAGTCTCATCGGACGCAAGAGTTTCTATCAGGCGCCTTGGATCGCCAAGTAACACCACAGCAAGCGCGCAACATTGTCCGCAGAGTATTGAAAGGCACTTTAGCGGACAACAAGCTCTTCTGTATGCTAGATACACTAGCCGATTTTGACGACCACGAGGTTCTCGTTCTCAGGGATCAAAATGACGTGACAAGTGAAGTTGTGATCCAGACTGCGGTGCATAAACTAGCCTTTGAGCGTTGGGGTGAAAGCCTTTGCATGGATTGGACGTATTATACAAACAATTTGGGATTTGATCTCGGTAAGGAGCCGTTTTAATATTGAGTTGCTTTTATCCGCCATGCTGCACCTTTATCTCTGTAGCGGCACTTTTAGCCCATGCTTTGGATTTTGTACAACGCAGGAAGTCTCCGTGTTACAGGTACAACGGGGTGCGGCGTTCCAGCTTTAGACTTCATTGAGCTGGATGAAAGGATGACGACTATGGAGGCAATTCTAGATTTATTTGAGAGGAAGAACAAGAAGTGGGAAGAGATCGAGACTTTTGTTAACGATAAGGACTTTAATGGAGAGTGTTGAAAAATTGTTTCCCCTAGGCGACGGTGCTGCTGTGCCAATTTCACACAATGGCAAACTGGCAGAAGGTCGTGAAGAGATCGAAGTACAATCTTTCCGGGACACAACGAGATGCTGTGGAAATTTCAATCGGGCAGATGATGTACGGGTCTACAACTGCTGCCTACAATAAGGCGAGAGACGAATTTGAAAACTTCTGCAACGGGGAGGTCGCAAGAAACGAACCCGCCTTGGAATCGTAAATGGCAACTGTGAGTACTCCATCTGCCTCGACTTCCTGGCATGGACAATAGCATTTCCAGACTTGAATTTCGTCCGCGAGAATATTAATCGCTTATCTGTACATTTTGATCAAATGCTTCTCCGAAAGCGAACCCTCACCGTGGTCCTGATAGAAAGCTCCGTCTGATTTCGTCTATAATTTTCTTGTTCCTCAACACATTCAAGTGTCGCTAGCAAGTGAGTTGATTCAATGGGTCGCCGATAACGATTTTGTTGAATGCGTCGAAGATGAAGAAACGGATTCGTTTTCAGTGGCACTTTATTCGGAGAACAAGGATTGGCCCTTTTCACTGTAAGTAACCCGGTGATGCTGTTGTATCCTGCTTACTCCACTCACTGTTTCTTTTTAATCTTTTCACCTCCTTGTCGAGAAAGCTCACTGGGCATGTGCGCGACATATATACCGCTCGAGAGCACATAGATAGCTATAAGGAAGACCTCGCCTGGGTTGAGAGGGACTGAACACATGAACCGAGCATCTGTCTCCCGCTCTTGTCCCCTTCGACGCGGTCGATAACGGATACGGCTCACGAAGTTGCGCAACGTTTTGCTGAGTCTTGGCTATCGCGAACATTCACATTCAGAGCCGGAATTACAGGATCTGGTGGCAGAACAGAACTTCGTGGTATACTTGGGTTTCTCGCTGGAAAAGCACGCCTGAACGGCGTCGTCATGCATTGCATGCTTCAACGTATCTGTTCCGGCATCTCGAAGCTGTTTGCTGTGGATCCTATAAATGTGATTGATTGGAAGCTGAACTTTCCAAGTTACCCACTATTAAGGTACAGTCACGTTGTTGCCCATGTCTACATGAAGGCTTTGGAGCACTGGATGGTCCAAATTGTAGAGCTTCCACCTATGTCCCAGCACAACCAACTCGAAAATTGTCACGCTGGTACTGTACGATCCTCTTGGCTCAGAGCACAACGCCGGTTTTTTTTAGGAGACATGGAGTACTTATACTCTACCACTACTGAAAGCCTGGACTCGACGAGATTTTGCAGTCAATAGTTCCCAAAATGGCACCAGACCAACAGAACACGACACAGATGGAGCAACTCAGAGGAAAGATGAATCCGTGAAGAGCCCACACCGTTCTCGAAAATCTTGTCGTGAAGATGAGATGGATACCGCATCCAGCTCAAAGCGATGCTGTCAGCTGTGGAGTCTTTTGTCTGGGGCAGACGTATAGCTACCTTAACGGTAGTGTGATATTTGAGCAAAACAAGAAGATATCTGCAAACGATATGGAGATCGTACGGCTCTGTATCATGCGGGAGATATTGCGCAATGCTGACGGCGTTGAAGACGCTATATCAGACATGGACAACTGGTGCAAGGTGCAGAATGTCAACAAGTCCATTCACGAGTACTTCACAGCTTCAGAGATTAGGAAACGATTCTTTAGCTTTTACTAGTCACAACAAGCATACACGCTAAATCATCATTTTTCTTAGTGTAAACTCGATTGTGAAAGTTTGTGTTAGGGGAGGGGTTTCTTACTTCAAGAGAACTTGTGCGTGGCCGTAATTTATCTGCACGTTGCGTACGTTGCGCCATTGTCGTAAAGGAGAAGACGTTGCCTACGAGTATATATGCAACGTGAGCAGCGTCTGCGCATAAAAAATAGTGGAAATACACGTTTGTTCTGAGTTTGTCCGGCAAAAGACCTCAACAAAATTGAAACTTAGGAGGACAACGGCAACAAATCGGGATCGTGTAGATAATGTTTTTCTTCTACTGTCTTCGCTATGGTTTTCGATTCCATAATCTCTCTGATAATCTTTTTGTTGTTGAATTTTTAGAGCAACACCACCGCCTGAAGTTGACGTTGCTAGAAACTCTCATTCTTACACATTGAAATTGTTTCATCATTTCTTCAAAATCCCTAATCGCCACCATTCCTACTTACTTCCCTCCCAACAATCATCTTTAACCCGGGTCATCAACCCAACCCGTCGCTTCCAAAACTCGAAAAGCGACTACTGGACTCGAAGAATCCTCCGCGATGCCGAGCAGCGAGGACTCGAGCGCGTCGCGCCACAACACGTGGACGCTGGACGAGTTCGCCGACCTGGTGGTGGCCTGGGAGCTGGCCACCTCTCGTCCACGCGACGCCAGCGCGCAGACCCTACACGACGCCGTGTTCAAGCACTTTGTGGCTCGCCGCGGCGGTTCCACCCGCCGAAACAAGGCCGCACTCACCAGTAAACGCAGTGCACTCAAATTCTCGTACCTCTACATAAGGGAATTCGACAATGAGCAGAAATTGAAGAAGCTACCGACATATTTCGAGTTGCCAATCTCCAAACGGATCGAACTTTTAATCAGCTGGAAGAGAATCAACTCGAGTCTCGTGGAGATCAGCCACGTCATGTTCCAAGGTCTGGGTTAGGATCGTGAGTAAAGGAGGAGACGACGAGCCTATTCTACCAATTAGAAAACGTCAAAAAGAGCTACTGAAAGCCACACACACGACCAGAACGGAGCCCAGACCCACGCGGGCTTCCTCAACCGTAAATTCTTCACCGAGTCCTACAAATTTAACCGTTAAACCAGCCAAGACAAAGCACGTTGTAACGGCGCGCTCCACGAGCAATCCGTGGTCCTCTGACGAGATGAAACAGTTAGTAAAAGCGTGGGGCATCGCCGCGCAGACGGTCTGTGATAGTAAATCGGGGGAACCAATGTCCATCGTGCACGAGATGTTCCGACAGTTTGAGAACCTGCAACAAGGCAGGAGCATCCGCAACTTATCGGGCTTAGCCACACGACGCCGAGTGTTGAAGCAGTCGTACTCTAGGATTTCCGCCTTTGACAAGATCCAGGAGATGAATGGAGAGCCCAAATTCACGGATCTACCGGCGACATCGAGGCAAAGTTTGATGCGGTCCTGGAAGAACGCCAACCTGCTGGATCTGTCGCCGGAAATGTACGCGGAGCTGCATCATATCATCGCACTGGACACGCGCGCAGTGGCGCTGGAAGACATCCGGCGCGCTCGAGCTACGGGTAGCTCGGTGACTGGACGTGGCGGGCGGAAACCAGGCAGGCCGCTCAAGAAGCAGAGGACGTTAAGACTCTTGCAGGACGACGACGTCGACAGCAACGTGTCGTCGCAGCCTCCGAGTGTTGCGGACGACAGCGAAGAGGAGAAAGGCGCGATCCCCTTGATGATTATCCAGAGCCGTGCAGAGGACCAGGCACACAGCTATGTACCCATTTACTCTGACACCAGACAACCTACTGAGACAATGATAGCTCTTACTTCTAGTACGGGTGGTGAAAGTCCGATTGTTTCACGTCAAGACGCAGCACCTCCGAAGCGTTTACTGCCTGCGATCAACGCTGCGAGAACGGCTTCTATTCAAGCGGACAGTGCGATCTCTGTAGCTGTTCCAGACCGCGTGACGCACAAGCCGCTGGCTCCAAAGCCTATCGAGCTGGTGGAACCGACCGATCAGCCGAAAGCGGCAGAGGAAGACGACGACGCGCCAATTAAAAGCCCAGGACGATGGGGCAAGCGGAAGCGGAAGGTGCATCCGGACGGCCCTAACGGCCATTTATGGGAGAACAAGGAGCTCCAGATCCTGATCGACGCGTGGGAAAAAGCAGCCATCCTCGTGTGCAACAGCGACCCGTCCAAGCGACTGTCACTGAACAGCGAGATGTATCGGGAGTTCGTGGCCATGCAGGGTGGCTCCTCTGTGCGCAACAGTACTGCACTCGCCGCACGACGCAGCTCGCTCAAGTTTTCGTACGCGCACATCCGCGCGTTCAATGAGTCGCAGAAGGCCAAAGGAGAACCTTCTTTCCACGAAATCCCACAAGATACGAGGATGAACCTACTGCGGTCATGGAAGAACCGCAACTCGGTGGACTTGACCAAGAGAATGTACGACACCTTGGGGCGGATCCTCGCCATGGACGAGAAACTGGCAGAAGTCCGCAGTATGCGTCCGCCGCCGCACGCTAAAGCCAAGAAACCTGTCAAAAGCGTTGCCGAATCGTCCGAATCCAAGACTCTTGATGCGAATTACATTGCCAAGACAGCCAAGTGGACCACAGAGGAGTCGGCGGACTTGATCAGAGCGTGCGCCGACGTCATGAACGCTCCGAACGACGCGGAATTGTCGCAAACGGACCGCGAGTCGCTCATCTTCGACGCGTTTGTGGCTCGTCGAGAGCACGCAGGAGACACGGACACTCCTGTCCGACGAGATCTGCGGTCCATGGCGCAGCAGTGGAGGTATATCCTGGCGTCGTACACGTACATCAAGGCATGCAACGACGATCGGTCGGAAGCCGAGAGTCCGTCTTGGTTCGAGATGTCAGCCATGCAGAAGCGAGCGTATCAGCAGTGTACGAACGTGCCGCTGAAGTTTGTGGATCTGGACGAAGCCGTGTTCGCGCTGGTCACCAAGACTTCGTTCGTCGCGGTGTCGACGTCTGTCGATTCGTCTCCAGCGTCCAAAACGCCGACCGAAGGCATTTCGTTGCGTCCGCGCTCTACGCGGAAGAAAACCGAGGCGTTCTGGTCGTCCGATTCCGAGTCTTCCGTGTCCGAGATCCCCACGCCAGAGGAGCCAAGTGGCACGAAGGAGCCTGTGTTTACAGCCGGGAAGAAGCGCAACAACTGGCCCGCCGAGGAGATCTGGAACTTGATCCAAGCGTGGGAAGAAGCGTCGGAACTGACCAAGAGCACGAAGCTGACTGCGGCGATCAACGAGGCCTACGCGCTCTTTATGAAGCGAGAAGGACCGGGCAATCGGAACCGCACGCTGAATAGTGTGCGCAACAAGATGATCGCGTTGAATTCGTCGTACAACAACATCGCGGCGTTCATCGCCGAGCATGGCGACAGCGCGACGTGGTTTAACCTGACGCAAGAAGAGCGCTTGGTGGAGATCCGGAGCTGGGGCAACAAGACGGTCATTGATCTCAACGAAGACATGTACAACTCGATGACGCGGATCTTGCGCGGGAAAGCGAGTGGCGCGGACGACAAAGCCGGCAAGAGGAAGCACGGCAAACCTGCGAAAACGGATACGAAAGACCCGGAGAGTAAGAGTCATACCGGACAGAAACCAGACAAGTACGTGGCTGCAAACTGGAGCAAAGAAGAGCTACTGAAGCTCGGGGAAGCGTGTGGCGAGTTGCTGGAAGGACGACGCAGTCGACGCTACGTGTTTGAAGAGGAGAAGGACCGGTTCTTCCGGAAGTATGAAGAGCTGGGCGGCACCAACTCGTTGGCGGCGACTGTGGGGCTCGCGAGGTTCGTGTTGGATTCGTACGAGTTTATTTACTTTTACAACCAGAAGGCGGTCGAGACCGAGTGCTTGGGCTGGTTCGAACTGGATCTGGAAGACCGCGACGACATCTCGACGAGAGTGAGCAGGTCGTACCGCAGTTTTAACGGACTGACGACTGTGGACGAAGAAATCTTCCACGTGATTGACAAGATGGACGCCGAGCTGCGTGTGAAACTGGGAGAGACCAAGAAGAAGACGTACAAGCCTCCGAACGACGCGGCGTCTTCTCGCTATGTGGACATTGAGGCTGTAGTGGAGCGTTGCGTGTTCAAGCCGACGCAATCTACCAAGAAGACGGACGCTCCAGAAGAAGAAGAAGAGTCAGAAGAAGAAGAATTGGACGAAGAAGACGAGGCTTCAGACAGCGACTCGACGGCACGTTCTCGTCCGGTGAGAGACGCTCCGACTCGCGTGCGTCGCGACTCTGTTGCTAGTCGTAAACGCTCGAGGGGAGACGCTGACGAAGCAGAAGAAGGTTCGTCGACCTTGTACCTGACGGAGATCATCCAAGAGCAGAACCGGAAACTGGAAGAAGCCGTCAAGCGGTTCCGGAAGGAAAGCGCCGTCGCTCGGAAGGAACACCACGACTTCTTGGTACGGAAGATCCAGGACAGCTTCCCGGTTGACTCTGGCCACGGCTCGTTCTTGGAGCGTGTCGCGGAGAGACAAGGACAGACGCTGGCCGACATCTTCCAGCGCTTACAGCAGCAACGCGACGCCGAGAAGGCGAAAGACGAGGAACTGATGCGGCAGCTGTTTGCCTAAGTGTGTGCAGGTACTTGAGTTAGTTTTTTTATCCTACTTTATGGCAAAAGATGGCGCCGCATGTCGTGTGAGTCTGGACTTGTGCCGTGGTCCGTACAGGTAACTCGACACCTCCAGGGAACGCTGTAGGTCCGACACTACTGCTAGCGATACAGCCTCCTACAGGGAGCTCCTGGAAGACGTCGGTGAAGACTTTGGAGATCTGTTGGGAGTGCACGATGTCCTCGACCTCATTCAACGCTCCAGCGACGATAAAAGCTCCGAATTCTGGCTGGTTAAGGCTTGACTTTGTGCCTTGAAGCGCCGATGTGAGTGCGTGAGACGTCCTTGTAGATTGATGTGAAGCGAGGATTCCGTACTCTCCTTCCTGCCAGCAGCGACCGGGTAGCGCCATTAGCTGGTCTTGCAGCCAGAAGACGAACTCGAATCGATCGATACGGGCTGAATACGGGACAGTTAATGAGTCCTGGTTAGCGTTACAGTCCAGAAGATGCTCGAGTGCTGAAATGTCGGCACTTGAGAAGACGTTGAGTGTCCTGCCTTCTTGTTCGATAGCGAACCTTTCGGACGGGTCGATGAGCTCCATGATGCGGTGCGAACCTTCTGACGTCGAGACGAGATCGTACGTCACTACTTGGCTCAGTTCTTGCGCTACATCCGCACGTTCGCAGCGAATCACAGGCGTGATCGGGTAGTAGCCGCAAGAGGAGAACGACTTCATGCCGACGTTGCCGTGGAGACGCAGTAGCATCGTCGTAGGGTACACGACGTGACCTCGTGGACGCCGTCGACGCTGGTGCTGCTTAGCTCTTCCCTTCTTCCGTGGCTTTCGATCTTGACGCACTGGTTCCACTCCGCTGTATGTTGCTAGAGGGACACAGCGATCAATTAGCGGCGACACTGCGCCCACAACTGTGGCCTGAGGATACCAATCCCCCAGAACCTGCACGAGTTGACCAGCACTCTTTTCGTTCACGCCGAACAACATGAAAGACGGCGTATCGTTCTCTTCCAATACAGGAAAAGGGTTGTCGAGCTCCTCGCCTCGTTGAGACCTTCTCAACTCTTTCCTCTCGAGCTCCGCCATCGCCAGGGTCGTGTCGGGTAAATGAGCCACTGAAATCGACAGCGTCACGGCGCTGGAACTGCCTTCTCCCTCGTCACTCTCACTTGTCCCCAACACTGCATTCATACTGAACATCATGATGATTGTACACGTTGGAGGCAGCAGTCTCGCCTCCTCAATTGCAGCAGCGGCCTCCTCCCAATAGCCGCCGCTATGCCACGGACTGGGGTCTTTACTAGCAGCCGAGAGCAGCACCAAGTCCGGTGTAAAGCGTGTGTCGGCCCATTCCAAGTGGTTACTTCGCAGCAGTTCGAGACTCTCTAGGCCATTGCCCGATGGGCCCAAAACTGTAGATCGCCACTCTGGATGAAGCTTCTTTGCTTCTTCGGTTACTCGTCTCCACTCGCAGCAGACGCAGCGCATTGCGCTGGTGTCTCGCCACGTCACGAACGGCAGGAACTGAGTCCAGAGATCGGATGGTAGCGTTGCCACTTGACTTTGAGGCTTGATATCATTGCGAGGACGCGGTGTTTGTCGCTGCCGATTGCGGGACGATACAGATCTCGACTTGGAAGACGACTTGGAAGACACGGTAGAGGCACTACTAGAGCTAAGGTGCCGGCGTCCACGACGCGACCGGTTGGGGTCGGCCATGGCGCTTTTGCAATGTGAGACTTGTAAGTGGTACAGAGTACCATCTGCTTTGAGGAAGGTCTCCTCTATAAACGTCACTACGATGAGTCTCAACTCGAGAACGGCAGTGCACGGAATTCCTACTCAGTACTGTACTACACCGTGCCGAAAAACTAGCTACACAAGGACGACAGGCGCAAAGTAGACTTCCACGGGACAACATTGCCCCTTCGACGCGATGCTGACCGAGAATTTGTAAACCGCGAGGCGACGGTCATCGACGGGCCCTGAGGCGCAAGTGTCGGTAGTGGATCATTCAGTAGGTAGTCATCTAGACCAACTTACCTGTCATGACATCTGCACGATCTCCGCGTACCAGTCCGACGCACATCAACGGAAAAGCAAATGGCGCTGAAGAGGATGCAGGTTTTTATCTGTTGGGAACACTTTGATGGTAGAGCGTCAGAGCCTCAACAAGTGTCGATGCTGGAAACAGTCCTCTCTGTCAGAGCGGAACTCGACAGGGTCACGCGGTCGTCGCATCGGTCGCTTGCTTGTCCGGTCGGTTGGATAGCTTCAACCGTTGATTGCACCGTGCAGGCAATGGCGACCGAGTGGCTTCTCGTGGCCGGACGTGATCCCACGCGCGGATCGATGACTTCAGTGGCAAAGATAAACGAGCAGTCTATAGAGCGCGCTTGACAGCTCCATGACTGCACCAACTTCTCGAAAACAAGCTGGGGCGTTGCAAACCGGCATAGATAGTCCTAGACACATCGCATCCAGGCTGCAAAGTGCACTTCGTTGACGTTGCCGCTGCCGCGTCAGCAGCACCTGCCTTAGCAGAATCTTTCTCCTCAAAGCTGTCCACTGTCCAGAGCTCTTGGCATTACCGATTTCGCGTCCTCGACCACCAACTCCATCTGCTTCCGACTCATTATTCTTCCCATGTCTGGCTTCACCGATGTCAAGATGTTCGCTGTGAGCGCAGCAGTACTGTATCTTAAGTTCCTAGCCTGCACTATGATCCAAGGTAACAAGGCCTTCGCTGCCGGTACGCGCATGCCTGAAGACAGCCAACTACCTCAAGCCAAGAACGCCCCGAAGCAGGGGTTCGCCGACCTAACTGACGACGCCACGCGGACTGCCGTGGAGGACGAAATGCGCTGGAAACGCATCATCCAGAACGACCTCGAGTCCATGCCCATGGCCTACGTTGTCTTCTGGAGTGCGATCTGCATGGGCGTGACCGGTGGCATCACCAAGACGCTGATCTTTGTCTACACTGTCGCGCGCGTCGCACACACCATCGTGTACGCACAGAGCTTGGCTCGCGCCCGTATGATCTGCTGGATGGTAGGCATGGGCTGTGTTGTTATCGCGGCAGTATGTAGCGTTCTAGCTGCAGTGTTTTAAGTTAAATTCTAGAGAATACCAAAGTCTTACATACTGAGTAAGTTCTTAAGTCCAAGACAGACAGCAAGTGCAAAAAACTTGATGAGGTCAGGCATGCCGATCAGGCGGCGTGAACGTCCCAGCTCTACACTTGTCGGTGCTTCTTCACCGCCACTGAAACTTCCCCACTTCCCAATCCTCACAAATTGTAGAGCCAAGTCAATCCTTTCAACCATGCTGGGTGCTATCACGGACGTGCAGACCTTCGGCCTGGCCGCATCGATTCTCTACGTCAAGTTCCTGGCTACGTCCATGATACAAGCTCGCAAGTCGTTCGCAGCCAACACGCGCATGGCTGAGGACAAGCAGCTTGTGTGTGCTATGGGTCTGTCGGGGAACATGGACGAGAAGCAGCTCAAGATCGCACTGGATAACGAGACCCGTTGGCGACGTATCGTGCAGAACGACCTCGAGTCCATTCCGTTGGCCTTCCTGGTATTCTGGGGCGCCATCCAGAACGGCGTGGACCCGGAACTTACCAAGACGCTCATGATCGTCTACACCGGCGCACGCTTCGGCCACACCATCGCCTACGGATCGGGGGCAGGCAAATCCCGCATGGCCTGCTGGATGTCCGGTACGGCTTGCATCCTCACGGCCGCTGCTAACATCGCCATGAACGTCTTCGCGTAAGTCTCAAGTAATTTTCCGCTAGGAAGTACATGTAACTATCGGTAATCAACGCTGACCAAACCAACTTTGCATATTATAACGACGTTCTCTCTACTCGAGCCATGGTCTCTGATAATAAACGGCTCATGTAGAACAACATGTAGTATTACGAGTCTTGATTCAAGATTTTGAGCGAAGAGGTCAGACGCATTGAGATTCTTAATGCGTCTTGGCTCAAAATTAATTTAAATATCGTGTCTGACGAGTAGCACGCCTGATCCTGATCAGTCCAGCCTTGGTCTTGTTTTTAGAGCCTGTCCTCACACTTTGGTCAGGCCGTTTGGTCAGGCGTAGCTGTTATCAGTTTGAAGCCTACACGTTTTATAACCCTTAAATATCAGATAGTGTTATTTCACAAAATCTTTGCTAGTTTTACCTTTTGCTTCACCTTTGAGACATGGTACTGAAAACGTCTGATGCTCATCCACTTCAACCTGTAACGGTCATTGGTCGACGTGTAGCCATGTTATGCCGAGAGCTTTCGTCATCCCTGGGCCAGGGGCAACAACGAACGAACTCTCAGCCCCCACTACATTTCTCAATTTACTCTTTTTCTCTTAAGCCCCACGCCTCGACTTCAACCATGCTGGATTCTATCTCCGACATCAAAGTGTTCGCTCTGAGCGCTTCGGTGCTTTACATCAAGTTCCTCCTCTCGACCATGATCCAAGGTCGCAAGGCCTTCGCCGCTAACACGCGCTTACCCGAGGACAAGACCCTCGTGTGCAGCATGGGGATCAATGTCGACAAGGACGAGAAAGCCGTCAAAGCTGCCGTGGAGGACGAGATGCGATGGAAACGGATCATCCAGAACGACCTCGAGTCCATGCCGCTCGCCTTTGTGGTTTTCTGGAGTGCTATCGCCGTGGGCGTCAGCCCCGCCATCACCAAGACGCTTCTGTTGGCCTACACCGTCGCTCGTGCCAGTCATACAGCTGTCTACTCGCTGGTCATGCCGCGTGCTCGCATGGTCTGCTGGATGGCCGGCAGCTTCTGTATCGTCGTCGCAGCACTTAACTGCGTGGCGGTAGCTCTCATGTACCTTTTCCTTAATACAGTAGTACCGGTATTTGAGTCATTATTCTGAGTCATTAAAGCAATGGTGATCAATGATGGGTACGCTCAAAAGTTGCATTGTATTTCAACTAAATGCACTGTATAATAGCATCCTACGCTACCCTTTTGACGTTGAGTTACTGTACGGAGCACCCCCAGCCTTCCGGTTCCTGTCCGGGGAGGTAGTGGTTGCCGGTCTTCCACTCGGGACAGCGGTCCTCCACCTTCACACCTGGCAGCAACAGTGAGATCCCCCTCCTCTTTATGATTAGTCTCTCGAATATCAGACAAATACCGTTGAGCGCGCTTTCAATGTGCATGCCGCATCCTCTCCACGTGGGCTTGTGGCAGGTTGAGCACTCAGTCTTCATGCACATTTTGGCGATGCGGTCGATTTACTTGTGATGGAGCTGGCCAGTTCGCGAATGGAGTGATGACCCGGTTGCGCGCGGCGCAATGTGCCTGACTTGGTTTCGTCAGGTCAGGCACACCTTTGAGGTACAGTGTCTGACCGGGTTCATGGACTTGAAAACCTGTCAAATCGTATGATCACTTCAACGTCTGTGGTCGCTCACCTTAATTTTAGACTGTGCTCGTCCTCGCACTTTGCGGTGTCTTAGCTCATGATAGAGGTCCCGCACTTGTGATCTAGCATTCTAACGCCTTCTTTCTTCAAGATGATGGCCAGACGCCATGTCCTGCAATCGTGTCGTCCCCACTTTGGATTCATGCCTCACCAACTTTCGGGGGTGCTACAGGCCCGCACGGATAAGGCCGTCTTCTTTGTAAAACCACACGGCATCCCGATCGTTCCCAGTCACGTTGTCTGGCGAGTGTCTGCCATCGCTCCAGCGGTATCTACCAACGAACTTTCATCTTCACCACCACTGAGGATGGAGATCGGTGACGTTAAGTGGACGGCTGCTCCACTACCAGAGATCAGAGAAATGACCCAAGAGCCTGCAGCTCTAAAACGCTTAATCAAGTCACCGAGCAGGCGCGCGTCAGTTCCGAGTACGGTCCCTACCCCGACCAAGGTTCTCAAGCGGAAAATCTCAATGCCCAATTCATTTAATAGCCTCGACACTGTGGAGACGATTCCGCAAACTCAGAAGCTCAAGAAGATCGACGATCGCGCTACCTTGAGTGGAATTAGGACGCATCGACTTGGCTTCGACCTTCTGACCGGGTACCGTGGATCCGGTGGTGCCATGACAGCGAAAGACTGGCTCAACCGATGTCTATTTCTCGAAACCATTATCAGTGCGGCAGGAATGGTTGAAGGATTGGCACGGCATTTACACTCAGTGTATTCGCTTAAGCAAGACGCTAAAAGCTATATGGAGGAGACCAGGAACGTGAGCATGCATCAGCTTATGTTCATGGACATGAAAGGGCCTGGGTGGCTCGCTCGAACGACAGTGCTCGCCGTACAGAGTGTCACGTTTTCAGCATTTTCACTAACTTACATGTTTTCTCCAAAGACATGTCATCGTTTTATGGAGCTCGTGGAGGAGGAGGCCGTCAAAACGTACACGTTTCTGCTTGAGGATATGGAGCATGGTCACTTGGACGATTGGTGCCCCCTCTGAATGCTCCTCTTATCAGTCGCAACTACTATGATCTGCCCGATGATGCCAAGGTCTACGACATGATCAAGTGTATTTACGCGGACGAAGCGAGCCACCACGTTTTCGTCAAAAACAAGAATGCTCATTCGTTTGTCAGTTTTCATAAACATTAAATCGTCCAAAGAAGCGGTCGAAACAGAGCAGCAACAATGCCTTTTACAGATCCCATTAACAGTTTACTGTTTAAATATTCAAATATTCAATACATGAAACTGAACTAAGCAAAAGGCTGACGAGAATTGAATCCTAAAATATGGACTTATCCTGATATATGGAATAACCGCCATTCGCCCCGTTTAAGCACAAGTTCGAATCAACTACAGGACCATCATGTGCATCAAGGTCGAGTGTCCTACTTGCCACAAGGCCACGTGGAAGGGCTGCGGCCAGCACATCGACGCCGCGCTCGTCGGTGTAAAGGAAGAGGAGCGCTGCCCCAACTGGAAGACCGGCAAGCACGAAAGCACCTGAGCAACGCCCACGACAAGACCCAACGCGGCTCAGGCGACGCCTTCAAGTAGTTTTAGGGATAGGAAGGAGACGTCAATGGCCGTTGATCCAACGCCAAAAGCAACATTTTATCAAATAAGAAGCCATCTTATCTACCTCATAAAGTGGATACACTTGGTGTTTTATACGGCGGTGATAATGGATCGCTGTTGAGGATACAGCGCTGCGATCCTTGTCCGCGTTGTTGCTTGAAACAGCATCACACGACTGGTCTCTTGCTTGCTCTGCGCTGACACAGTCACTACATACCTACTTGTTCTATCTACAATGAATTTCATCCAGTCGTCGTCTACATCTTGTATACGATAGGCGACGTCTGCAGTTTGTGCGTCTCTGCAGACCCACGCAACGAAGCTGCTGGTTTCGTCGGAGTAGTAGGCACATGAGCAACACAGAAGGCGGACGACTCGGACACGACTGGCAGAGCCGCCTCCATCTCTCTGCTGTAGTTTCTTAAGATCCGGGACGCTCGCTTGGATCTGGGTTTGCCCATGTCCACGCTGCACTTGAGCTTCATCACAGGCGACGGCGTGCACATGTTGAACGTGGATGTCCGTGCGCCACTATTCGGTGCAGTGCCGAGTCTCCTCCTCGCTCCACCGCCTCCTGTAGCCATGAACTTGTGTTCCTTGGCGACCATCTTGACACCTGACCCAGACCTGATCTTCTTACTAGGCGTCCGTAATACCATCGACTGATCCATCTCGGACCCGTGCAACTTCCTGATCCTCTTGCAAAACGCCTCTTCGTCCTTCTCGTTAGGGTCAAACAAAACGCCCACGACGCCGCTGTCATTGGCGACTCGAATGTTGACCGCATCGTCGTCCACCAGGACCGTATCCCGGTTACGGATGACGCTCTGGTCGCCCGAGCGTCTCTGGACTTCGAGAGCCGCAGAGATCATGAATGGCAGCTTGAATTTGCGGTCTAAGTGGCGCCCGTCGGTCTGCCAAAGCGGCAGGAAGGTGCCGGTCTGGTCGTGGGTCAGGGTCCAGGTACGGTCATCTCCTCGGATCACAAGCTGCGCGGTGATCTCTGGAGTAAAGCACAGCTGCAAGACGTCGCGGATAAGCTGCACTTGTGGACTGAAGGTGACGATGGCTACATTCACGTCGGACTCGCACAGTAGCGGCACTAACAGCTCGAAGAAGCGTCGCACATGGCTACGCAACGCAGCTGCGGTGTCGGCCCACAGTCCGCCCGTGTGCACTGTGACGAAGGTGGCGTCAAAGTCGATGCAGACCAACTTGGCACCGACAGACTTGAGCCCCGCGGCGGCCTCCAAGGCCTGGGCCTCCACCTGGTCCACGCTCGGCCGGCGCGACGCCATGCGCGGACTTTATACACTGGGCAATTACAATAATAATTTTGAATTTTAGAGGGAATTGATATGATTGGTGAAAATAATTTAAAAAGACCAGGTGTAGCCATGTGTCACATGGCTACATGAACTTCAACTATCGTCGACCAGTGTGAAACTTGTACAGAATGACAGCGAACGCCACCTCGAACGCTACAGCATCAGCAGCCAGCACTACCAGGTCTTTCCCGATGTGAACTTCGTCCGTCACGAACTTAGCCAGTACAGCTTGACTCTGCAAAGATAAATCATCACGGAACTGGTTGAACAGCAGCACCTCGGACAGAAAGCCCAACCGATGTGCCCATCGCCAGTAGTCTGGCATAGCAGGACCAGGCACAAACAACCCCATGACTAAGATAAACCATCCGAAAATGGCTGCTCCCAACGCCATCCCGACAATAAACTGCGGTACAACAGCTGAGATGAGGTGCATGAGGTTCTCCGCCACGATGAGCGATAGAAACACCACAACCAGGAAAACATCGTAGGAGTTTAGCCCTGCCAAGCACCCGACGAGTACCGTGGAGCTCAATGCAATGAGGAAGATACCGGGCAACGCACCCAAGAAGTTTGCAGCCACGTAGCCGAAGACGCTCAACCCGCTGTTGTTCCGTTCTCGAAGAAAGACCGCACGTTGCTCGATAAAAAATGGCAGCACGGCGATCGACAGGAAGACGAGGTAGATGTTGACGTATGTTAGAAGCAATGCGATGTCAGAGGCGACGATCTTGGGGTTGGAGGACAAGTACATGGTGCCTACCATGGTCGATAGCACCGTATAAGTGACGAGTCGATCCAATAGATCCCAGGATTTCGCACGTTGTTGAGTAAATTTCGATGCAGCAAGACGGAAAATTGTTGAAATGGCGACACTTGTGTATCCATCTTGGATCGTGTAACATGGATACCTACTGCGTCAGTGCGAATAGCACTGATGATCCGAGCTGCAACAGCGCTGGAAGCGTATCCATTGATGAGTGCGTCGATATCTCCGTGTCCTTCGAAGTCCGTATTGGCGAGGTCGATGAAATATTCCACCGGGTCTTGATATTGCGGACAATTGTAGCCAAGAGAGGAGAAATGGTGCAGGATTTTCGTGCGAGAGCCAAAGTACACGGTCCGTCCCGCTGTCAGGATGGCTACATTCGAAAACATTTCGTAGACTAAAGACGACGGCTGATGTATCGTACAGATGATGGTTCTGCCTTCGTTACTTAGCCGAGATATAAGCTTTACCACGTTGAACGTCGACGCAGAGTCGAGTCCTGAAGTGGGTTCATCAAGCAGTAAAATCGATGGATCTGACAGCATTTCAATCGCGATACTAAGACGCCGCTTCTGACCTCCAGAAATTCCTTTGTGGAACATATCCCCGACCATAGCGTTCTCACATACACGCAGCCCCATATCGTCAATTACGCGCTGAACTCGCCTGATGATAGTTAGTGCAGTTGTCCCTCTCGGCATCGACAATCTTGCAGCCATTTCCAAAGTCTCCTGTACCGTGAATGAGCCTAATCGCGAATCCTCCTGAGCGACGTAACTCGATACCTTTCTGAATATTTTTGCATCACGTTTCTCTCCATTAAATGCAATCTCCCCCGTGATACTTCCAGAGCATAAACGGTCTGCTAGGATGTCGAGAAGTGTGGTTTTACCGGACCCAGATGGCCCCGTAATGGCGGTGAGTTCTCCAGGAGCACATCGTCCGGTGAGGATCGTTTTCTTTCCGCTTGGATTCGTCACAGACTTCTTGGTGTTGACAGTGTACGAGAGGTTGCTCCAACTCAATGTACACGGATTCTGGTTAGTAAAGAGAGCCTTGCCAGCTGGTCGATCGCTAGATTCAACAGAGCAGTGGTCACTAGATCGAGGGGACACGGTGCCCTGCTCGTACCGGCAATACCCGTACTGGCGAAAGCATTAGTCGATCGTCGCGCTAAGCAGAAAAATAATGAGATCATGCACGAAATCTTCCACTGAAGCCCAGCTATCTTTGGCTGTCTTGCGATTTTTTTAGGACGTGATTGTGAAACACTAATTAAAAATAAAGCAACTGCTTTCAAATATTTTTTTATTGGCCTCAGCTCAAATTACTAAGAGCATAACCATGTGATCACGAAATTCATCAGTATTACTGACGGAATGTAATATTTATGAGAATTGAGCAAAATTAACCTCATTACTGTGTGGCATCCAGCCACGTGAGCTTAAGCGTGTAGTCCGATGCTACAGAAAGCGCGTCACAGTCAAATAATCTGATCTCGTCCAAAAGTGCATGAAAATCTCACCGAAGTGCTGCAGTCAGGGGCTAATGGTAACTCCACAATCGAAAAAAGCTAATATTGTGAAAATATCAGCTAATTTAAAAAGTATCACTAAATATTATCTTCTGAGACAAAATGATATTATTAAATATCAACTTAATTTTAGTTAGTACGATATTATATTTATAAAGATTGCGTAATCTATTAAATCCACAAATCAGATGTTGCTAACGTTCGACTAGCTGAAGTATTAGTAATCATCCGTGAAGTAACGCGAGTGTTGCTAGCAAATTTGACAAACTAAGAATAAAGTAAGTTTTTCTTATTATTGAAGTTTTGAGAAAACTAAAAAAAATATTATGTTCTCATGTTGATGTGGTGTGGAGCCAAGCAAACTCAAAGGTATAATCCGATGCTGTAAAAATAATTAGTTAGAAATGTTAGCTGTACGGTTCAAGAACAAAAGATAAAGACTTTGCTCACCGAAGTGCTGCAGCGTCGCCTGTACATTGTAGAACACCCAGAACACGAGCTTCGTCTGTATTTGCTCGCCCTGTTTTTCCAGAACAAACGCCAACTGTCTCACAGCTGAAATGTGGAGTTTATGCCACAATACCATGAAGAGGGTTACCAAGGCAAGAAGCAATACAGCATCACATTTCCGATAGTATTCCAGAGTTTAACGTCGTCCATACTGTCGATTTGAGCGTAGTAAACGCGGTTGGGCAGATAGTACATCACCATTAGATTCGCCGCTACAACAGCAATGAGAATCGATCTTTTAAAAAAAAAAAAAAAACTCACAGAAAATTACGGGCACGATCACTTCCACGTAGTTGATCAAGAGCATGAACTCGGTGATGTAGAGCACTTTTCGAACCTGGAGAGCGTAATCAAGCTCCAGCTGCGCAATATCCTGTCTGTCTTGCGTTCCATCGACACAGAAAACTTTGCGTAAACTCCCACCTTTCGACTTTGTTAAAATACTTGGTGTGTAAACAAGTTGCTTAGGAGCTCCGTTGAAGCTCGTTGCCTTGGGTTTTAAGTCAATCCGCTCGACATTGAGAATCGAAATATCAGTGGTCGTGGCGGAACCGACAAAGACTTGAGCTGTTTGTTTGTACCGATCGAGAATGTCCCGAGTGTACAAAAGAATCGTCTTCCTGCGTAGAATTTTTATCTGGGTCGCTGTGGAGTTTGTCAGCATTTGTCTACCACGCTCTGAATTCACTCGCTCCTTCAGCACTCGCAATCTCTGGATCACAAACAGCCACATCACGCATCGACGCGATCATCTGATCGCCATCTATTGCGATCAAACCGAGTGTTGTCCATATGGACGGAGTGTTCTGCATGCAGTAAGACATGAACAGAGAATTGAAGACCTCTACGTTCATCAACACAACCTCAGGGATCTCGTCGTTCAGATGCACCACAGTCCGCGACATCACATTCCTTAAGAATATTTTAATGACCGGAAGAAGAAAAGCAAACGGAGTCTTTGCATCGGCAGGAAGGGTTGTAAAAATGTAGAAATACGTCGGGTAGATCACGACAAGACTTTCTTGACAAAGCCAGACTTTCAGCGTGTTGACTACAAGTTTCCACACCTCTGGATCGGATCGAGCTTTCTTCAGAAAGGACACTAGAGGGACGAGCATTGATACAACCCACATCGGTGAGACGGTGATGATTCCAAAAGGTAATGGGAATCCAATCACCATCGAAAGTGCGTACACGACGCCCGTTGTAAACGCGGCTGAGAATGCACCGGATATAACGATACGTATGTTTGATAGGTGAACAGGAGGAACACTATGTCGGAACTGGAGATTGATGACGATTGTAGCCACCCAAAATGACAGAAACACTCGGAAGATGAAGAGATAGTTGGCATCCAGTCCTTCGGATGACGGACGCAACGGGATCAAATCGACAAGAATGGTTATAATCACACACGGCCACGGAACGAGGGCCAATACAGTCAAGGCTCGAAGGATACTGGCTCGTTGATTATAGTCGATCAGTTCTCGAACGCGCTCGACGGAGTAAGAACCATGGAGTTCTACTTGTGTGCTTTCCCAACACTCGGCGAGCTTCTGAGCCAAAAGCGCCAACCGCATGCCCCGTGGTCGCAAGGAGAACAGCTTGAAGGCCCCGATTTATCTGCTAAAACAAAAACTGTCATAAAAATAGTAACTCGAAACGATAACACATCGAATCCCTCATGAGTAACGTTATCAATACGCGCGTTTCTGCATCTTTTATTTTGTAGTAGTAACTTAAAGAAAGTTCGAAATTACGATCACCGACGACCTGTGTGGAACTTGTACAAGACGAAAGTGAAGAGGATCTCGAAGGCCACAGCGTTGGCAGCCACGATAGCGAGATCGCGGCCAAGATCAGCATCTTCCATGCCGAATTTAGCCAGAATTAACTGCGCTTCGAGCGAGGTTTCGTTGTGGAACTGGTTGTGCATGAGAGCTTCAAATCCGTACGATAAGAAGCCTAGATAATGGCCCCAAATCCAGTAATCCGGGATAGCGGGTCGTGGCACGAACAGACCCATGCACAGGATGAACCATCCGAAGAGTGCCGCACCGATCGCCATTCCGATGATAAAGTGAGACACACACGCCGCTACGAGGTGCATCAAACTCTCGGCGACCACAAGCGACAAGAAAACGATCAGCAAGAAAACGCCGTACGAGTTGAGGCCCGCGAGGTATCCAACGAGCAGCGTTGAGCTCAATGCGATCAAGAATATGCCTGGTAAAGCACCCAGGAAGTTGGCGATCACGTAGCTAAACACGTTGAGGTTGCTGTTGGCTCGTTCACGAAGGAAGACCGCGCGTTGCTCAATGAAGAACGGTAGTACAGCGATGGACATGAACACGAGGAAGCAGTTAGCGTAGGTGAGTAGATACACGACGTCGTGAGGGACGATGCGCTTGTTGGTCGAGAGGAACATGGTCCCCATCATAAACGACAGCACCGTGTACATGACAATCCGAACCCAAAAGATACCGGGGTTGCGTAGGTTGTCGACTAAATTCCGCTTCAGTAGCACCACGAGCTGCCGTAGCGGCGAGTTTGGAGCGCGCTCGATATCTCTGGCGCCATGTAAGCTCGTCGAGTCAGCCTCAATAGTGTCTTGGATCTTACCAGCAAGCGGACTAGCTGCATACCCAGAAACCAGCAGCGGAATATCGCCGTGGCCTACGAAGTCAGTGTTTGCGATACAAATGTAGTGCTCGGCTGGGTCTTCATGTTCGGGGCAGATATAGCCAAGCGACTCGAAATGTGACAACATGTCGACTCGTGGACCAAAGTAAACGGTCTCACCTGCAGTGAGGATCGCCACATTTGTGAGCATCGCGTACACTAACGACGATGGCTGATGGATGGTGCAAATCACCGTCATTTTCTCTTTGCAGAGTCGAGACACGAACTTCATGACGTTGTACGTCGATGCAGAGTCCAGTCCCGACGTTGGTTCATCTAGCAGCAGGATTGAAGGCTCCGACAGCAACTCGATGGCGATACTCAGTCTTCGCTTTTGACCGCCTGAAATGCCCTTCCGGAAGACATCTCCGACCAGTGTATGCTCGCAAACGCGTAGCCCCATCTCGTCTATCACCGTTTGTACACGGTCAACAATCTCGCGATGGGTAATGGAGCTTGGTAGACTCAGCTTTGCTGCCATCTCGAGAGTTTCCCGTACAGTAAATGAACCTAATAAAGAGTCTTCCTGTGCTACGTAACTGGATACAGCTCGGAAGGTTTTGTGTTTTCGCGCCACCCCATTAAGGAAAATGTCCCCGGAGATCTTTCCGGAGCTGATCCGGTCCGCCAGAATGTCGAGTAGTGTAGTTTTCCCAGACCCAGAAGGCCCCATGACGGCTGTCAACTCGCCAGGTGCGCAGCGTCCCGTGACGTTAGTAAGAATGGTTTTCATACTATCTGGATGATTCGATGTCTTCTTCTTCGTGTCGACACTGTACGAGAGATTACGCCAGCTCAACGTGCACGGATTGGCCGTGATCCGAAGTGGTTTCCCCTGGAAACTGGTACTGCTCTTGGAGGGACCTTCATCTATGGATGGAGTGATAGGGGCCAGCTCAACCTGAACGGTGATGCTTGTAGGCACTACTACTTCGGCGTCGTCGCCCATGTTTAACAGAGCCTCCGACTACTTGAATGACTCGATTATTATGTAATCCAGCAGAAGCTGAGGATAGTCAAGATGAGATCCTCCAGCCTATTCATGCCTCGGTCTTCGACAGAAACGTCCACGCGATGGACATGCGTGAGATGCACGCATGACGACGGCTTGTTGTGGAAATGTATTGAGTTGTTTAGTGGAATTTTGTAACATGAGTGTTTAGTTCTTTTATTTATCTACGACCAGTGTGGAATTTGTACAAGATAAAGGTGAAAATGAGCTCTAGTCCGATGGCGTAGCATGCGAGGATGATCATGTTGTGCGTCGTATTAACGTCCTCCAGGTTCAGTCGAACGAGAATCGCCTTAGCTGTCGGAGAGTCGACGTGGATGAAGTGTTCGTACACGAAAGACTGGAACGAGTACGTGTGGAAGGCGAGATAATACGCCCAGATCCAGTAGTCCGGGATCGTCTCCTTCGGGACCATGAAGCCCTCGCACAGCATAAACATACCGTAGACACCAGCTCCTAGCGCGATGCCGATGATATAGTGAGGAACGGCAGCTCCAATGACGTGCATGAAGGACTCAGCCACTACGAGAGACAGAAACAGGTTGAGCAGGAACCACCAGAACCCGTTGAGACCCGATAGCAACACAACCAGAAGCGTCGACACTAGAGCAATCACGAAGATGCCCGGTAGGCTGGCGATGAAGTTGGCTAGAGCAAAGCTGAACACGTTGAGACTGCTGTTAGCGCGTTCTCTTAAGAACACTGCGCGTTGTTCTATGAAGAAAGGTAGAACAGCCACCGACATGAAGACCAAGAAAGCTTGAACATAGAAGAGCAGAGGCACCATGTCTTCGTCCGAGATGTCGTCGTTGGTGTAGAGGTAAATGGTACCGACCATGAAGGCCAGCATAGTGTACATGGCGAGTCGAACCCAGTAGATGCCTGGGTTACGGATGTTGTTGAGCGAGTTACGCTGCATGAGCACGACGAACTGTCGAAGAGCCGACGGCTTCACTGGAATGAACGGTGCATTGCGTACACTAGCAGCATCGGCTTCGATCGCCTTCACGACGTTGGAGGCCATTGAACTAGCAGCGTAACTTTCAATTAGCTTCTTGATATCTGCGTGTCCTTCAAAGTCCGAATTCACGAGACTGATAAAATATTCGGCCGGGTTCATGTACATCGGACACGAGTATCCAGAAGCCGAGAAATGGTCGAGGGTATGTTGACGAGGCCCGAAGTACACCGTCTCACCTGCTGTAAGGATCACGACGTTCGAAAACATTTCATATACCAGTGACGAAGGCTGATGGATGGTACAGATGACAGTCTTGTTCTCCTGACAGAGCTTTGAGACGAACTGCATCACGTTATGTGTTGACGCCGAGTCCAGACCGGAAGTCGGTTCATCCAGCAGCAAGATCGACGGGTCGGATAGCAACTCGATGGCGATACTTAGACGTCGTTTCTGGCCTCCTGAGATGCCCTTTCTGAAGATATCTCCGACCAGAGTGTGTTCGCATACACGAAGCCCCATGGCGTCGATGACGTTCTGTACCCGTTCAACAATAGCGTGGCAAGTGACGGAGTTTGGTAGACTTAGCCTCGCTGCCATCTCGAGCGTCTCTACAACGGTAAATGAACCCAATAACGAGTCCTCTTGAGCCACGTAGCTCGTCACTGCGCGGAAGGTTTTAATGTTTCGAGTTTCGCCGTTAAGCGCGATGTCACCCTGGATGGTTCCGGAGCTGATTCGGTCTGCTAGAATGTCAAGTAGCGTGGTTTTGCCACAGCCAGAAGGTCCCATAACGGCGGTAAGCTCGCCGGGTGCACAGCGTCCAGAGACGTTGCTGATGATACTCTTCTTTCCAGTAGGACAGTGCGTTGTCTTCTTCACATCGACGATGTAGGTGAGGTTCTTCCAGCTGAGAGTGCACGGGTTCTTTGATACAGTGGAGATGTTGACGGGTAAAGCAACGTCATCAGGTTTGGTCTTGTGAGGGGTCAACGTCTCGTAGGATGTGGCAGTGCTAGGCGACGCTGGGTTAATATCCGCCATGATTAGAGATCTACTTGTATGTCGTCGAAGCACAATTATACTGTGATGTGGCACGTCGCAAAAGCGTTTTCTTGTCCTGGCCGTTGGGATGAATTCATGGCGTTACTTCACGCGACAGACACGTCCAATGGTCACGTTCGTATGTTGTTCACTTCCTTTATCCTGAAGGATAACAAGAGGTAATCGAAAGTCGCCAGGGTATCACAAGAGCGTGTTTTATTTAGGGTGTTTATAAAGTAAAACGTTGTGGGTCTGTTTTCGACGGCGTTTAGTGGTGGTTATTCACGAACGGACTGATGCCCTTGTTTTGATCCAGATCCGCAAACTTGTGGTTCACATCTCTGTGGTTGCACTCGTCTGCCCGAATGCACTTGATCATGTCGTAAATGTTGCTACCTTCAGGTAACTTGTAGTACGTCTGAGCAATGAGCGGCGCCTGCTTCTGCTTCCAGCCGTCCAGATGGCCATCCTCGATATCCTGCAGCAGATACGTGTATGTCTTCACTGCTTCTTCCTCCAGATACCCCACAAAGCGATGACAAGTCTTTGGTGACACCAAATACGTGAGGAAAAAGCCGTTAAAGAACACTCCTTGAGCTCCAATCACAAGCGTCCGGAAGAACCAACCCGGTTGCTTGAGATGCAAAAAGATGAGCAAGTGCATTCGTTCATTCTCGGCTTCTTCCAGAAGAGTGTGGATCCATCCATAGTCTCGCTTCATACGACGTAGCGAGCGTAGGTGACGTAGCATACCTCCTACCATACCAGGGACACCAGCAATGGACTCCAAGAAGAGACAACGGTGAAGCCAATCTCTCTCCGTCATCTCCCCTCCTGGACCACGATATCTGGTCACCTTGTCGAAGCCCACACGGAGCGTCTTAATAGCGAGGTACGCTACCCGCTCGCTCATCGTGGCCACAGGATGGTGGGTCTCTTCCATCACGGTGATCTTGTCCAGATCGTACACGGTGTGTTTGATCGGGTGGTCCCACACTGGCTCACCGCTTGTAGCTGTGGGGTGAAGCGGGTGAACGTCCTTGGACTCGAGGAAATGCGCCTTGTACGCAGGTTCACTGAACGCATCGAAGGGCTCTGCGTGGCTCTTGTGTCCCTCGTTCCTAGCACCATTCGCTGGTGGCGCAGTCGCAAAGAAGTTGACCGGTGCTCGAGCAGGAAACGAGATCCGTTGGGGCTTAAACACTCGTAGAGGATGACGGCGGAACAAGAACTCCGTGGCTCTCATTTTGACGGTCTTTGCTGCGTCTTGAAAGGTAAATTGAACAATGAGGAAAATTATAACGAAGGAAAACTGCGAGTAGCGTGAGTGACAGCTGTGACTACCGATTCAACTTGAGGTCCTGAGACCAGTCGTGGGTTTTCTCTGTCCGATTCAGTAGATGCGACGAGGCACAACAATGCAGTAAAGTGTATTCAAGCTCTGTGATTGTCTGCTTCGAGAACTACTGGTACGTACTACGTACACACGTTGAAGTCCACGACTTGCTTTAGTGGGGACTGTAGACGAACGGACTGACACCCGTCTTTTGGTCCAAGTTCGCGAACTCGTGGTTCACGTCGCGGTGGTTGCACTCGTCTGCGCGCACACACTTGACCATGTCGTACAAGGACGCGTCCTCCGGCAGCTTGTAGTACGTCTGCGCAATGAGCGGCGCCTTCTTCTCCTTCCACGCGTCCAGGTGTCCGTCCTCAATGTCCTTAAGTAGACACGTGTACGTCTTAACAGCTTCCTCTTCGAGGTAGCCCACGAAGCGGTGGCACGTCTTTGGCGAGACCAAGTAGGTGAGGAAGAAGGCATTGAAGAAGACACCCTGAGCTCCCAAGACCAAAGTGCGGAAGAAGTAGCCGGGCTGCTTGATGTTCATGAAAATGAGCAGATGCATGCGCTCATTCTCGGCCTCCTCCAGTAGCGTGTGGATCCAGCCGTAGTCGCGTTTGAACTTGCGTAGCGAGCGTAGGTGGCGCAGCATACCGCCCACCATGCCGGGTACGCCCGCCACGGACTCGAGGAAGAGGCAGCGGTTGACCCAGTCTTTGTCGGTCATGGCACCGCCCGGGCCGCGATAGCCCGATACAATGTCAAAGCCTGTACGAAGCGTCTGGACGGCCAAGTAGGCCACACGTTCGTGCATTTTGGTGATTGGGTGGTGGGTCTGCTGCATGGTGGTGATCTTGTCGAGATCATAGACGGCGTGGTTGATTGGGTTCTCCCAGATGGGCTCGCCATTCTCGCTGGTGGTAATCCGAGTTTGCTTGAAGTGAGCCTTGTAGGCCGGTTCGTTAGTAGGATCCGTCGGTTCTACATTCAACTTCTCGTTATTAGCCTTCGCGTCAGCCAGTACGTGCTGGCCGGTGGTCGATATCGTCGAAGCGAACCGTTGGCGCTTGAGCAAACCCAAGGCCTGGCGACGGTAAAGTGGACTGAGAACCGATCGCTGGGCGAAACTGGTAGCGACAAAGTGCATTTTCGCGGCGTGAAGTGAGTAGTAGATGTTGAATTGGAGAATGAATTTCTGACGGTGTGGCATTGGCAGAAGTAGGCACCGCTAATGCGAGTGTGGTCGCTGTTGACATGTTGAATTCCATCGGAGTTGCGAGTTGAATTGGCGTAAGGCAAACGTGGGGCCAGGAGGCGCGGCAATAAGTATTCAAGGCACGCGCGCTGTCTCATGAATCCGAAATCGACACGATTACGTGTTGAATGAACTCTTGTGAGAACGGCATACGGTAATAGACTTCGATACAAAAATAAAGGTTTTTGTGTGATTTATAAAATGCTCATACCGTATTGTCGAATATGAGCTGCAGCAGTGCTGCCAGCACTGACACTGTAGCTCCACCCAACAATATCAAAATGTTCTTGTTGCTGAGTACTCGTCGTGCTGCTCAGGAAATTCCAACCCGATACTGTAGCCGCTACAGTAGCGGGACTAAGGTTGGCCTGTCCAACGGCTACCAAAAGTATACATGCAGTGTGCAATGCTGGGTACACTGTACCTGTGCAGGTATTCGAGCTCAAGATTCTGAACTGAAAGGTTGTCATCAAGCAACACATTTTTATGGAAAACACACAAATTTATGGGTGCTTTAAAAGCACTTTTCTAGAATTTTAATACGTGCAATCCTAATATATTTACATTGAAAGCATTATTAAATTGTACCCGGGACACTTTTCGTAAAAAAAACGCTAAGTACTCTTTTTGGATCGTCCCTCATCTCATCATGCTCATCTATTGTAGAAATGAGCGTCACGCCTGCCTGACTTCGGATGATGAGTTTACCGAACTACGCTCGGAATAGCTGACAGCGTCCAACGCTATTTAGCTACATGTAATACTCTTCAGCCAATAATTCTATTGAATCGTCACGTATCGACATCACCAAGACCAGGAGTGACTATCACGCAAAGCTGAATCTGGTTCTGCGAGTATTTTCGTCGTAATATTAGCTGTCACTTTCGAAATTACCAGCGACCATGAACGACCCCATCGAGATGGTAAAAGATCACTGGAACGAGTATGCCGAACGCTTCACAGAGACGGCAAATAAGCGCATGACACTGCAGTGCTCACAGCAGATGTATTCGCATATGCAGCTTGACCAAGCACGTCCTCGAGGTCGCGGCTGCTGGCGGATTGGGGTCGCTTGACATCGTCCAGTATCTCCTTGTTGGTCGATCCACGCTTCCTGAAGACATTAAAAAAACGCTCACGGTCACAGACTTGTCGCCCGTGATGGTCGGTTTGGCCGAAAAGAACTTAAGCGGTGCTGGCACGAGATCAAGTGCAAAAAAGCTAACGGTACGTCAACCAGATCTTCAGGCTAGTCATTTACTGACATTGAAAATTATGAAGGTCAAAATCTGACCGAAGTAGCCACGGGATCGGTGGATCGATATGTTGCCGGTCTCTGTCTCCAGCTTACTCCAGACCCAGATGCGATGCTCCGTGAGGCAAGTCGTGTGCTGACCGCTGACGGTATTGCAGGCTTCACAATCTGGGGGTCTGCCGATCGCAGCGGTATGTTTACTATTATCCCCGCAGTGAACAAGGAGTTAGGTTTTGAGGAAAATGCAGGTATGCACTCCTTTTTCACCTTGGGAAAGGATCTTCTATCGTTGCGCAAGCGCTTCGCTTTAGCTGGGTTCAAGAATGTGCAGATTTGGCCGTGCCAGTGTGTGGTGGAGCTTTGGAGCGCCGAGGACTTTGCCAAGTATGAGCAGAAGGTGTACAGTATCTCGTCGAGGATGACGAGGTGAAGGCCAAGAGATTCGATACGGTTAAACGCATGGCTGATGACTGGCTCGCCAAGGGTTTCCCGATTGGCCTCGAGACCTTCATTATTTTGGCCAGGAAGTAGCAGGTTTTTTAGGATTCTACAATCGGTACATGTAATTGATTTTACATTAGATCGAGGTTTCTATGTAGAAGTCTGTAACTTTTAGTGATTTGTTGGGTAACACGATCAATCAATCTATCCAGCCTGGATTCCAGGAAATATGCTACGACAGTGCTGGCAGTACTGTACTGTGCTTTGATCGTCCAATCCACGACAGAAAATTGTCACCTATCCGTCACTTGAATTTTTCTTGAAGTGAGGTGTTTACCATATTTGAAAAATACAAACAATAGGATACCACTGTCTACGAATAAAAAATCAGCTCACATGGCTCGACGGAACATCGTTCGCCTGGATTAACAAGAGGCATTATTAGAATAGTACTTAAAGAAAATTGAGCCTTAAAGTCATGTTACACGACACGGTAGTAGCACACGAATTGTCATGGTACAGTAATAGCACACGTCATGTCTGCGGATATGCAAAAATAATATTTGAAACATTTTACAACAAAAATATTCCTTCAAATCCGTTCACTTGAGCACTTTCGAAATTGCCAAGAGCCTCGAGCCTCTCAACATCTGCAGCGATGGCCAACAGCCTTGAAACGGTGAAGGACAACTGGAACAAGTTCGCGGCGCGCTTCACGGAGACGGCAAACAAGCGCATGACGCTGCAGTGCTCGCAGCATCTGCACACGCATATGCAGCTCGATCAGGCTCGCAGAGGTCGCCGCGGGTGCCGGACTTGGCTCCCTCGATATCGTCCAGTATCTCCTTGACGATCGGTCCAAGCTCGCTAAGGACACCAAGAGGACGTTCACGGTCACAGACCTATCGCCTGTGATGGTCGATCTAGCCGGAAATAACTTGAGTGGTGCCGGCACAGATACCGTAGACATTAAGTGCAAAGAAGCCAACGGTGAGCAGACCAAATCTTCTGTTCGTTTTAGGCTGATGGGAACGCTGAAATGTTTTTCTTTAACGTTTTAGGCCAAGATCTGACTGATGTAGCCACTGCCTCGGTCGACCGATATATCGCCAGTCTGTGTCTGCAGCTCGCTCCGGGTCCGGATGATCTGCTCCGTGAGGCGAGTCGCGTGTTGACTGCTGATGGTATTGCGGGCTTCACAATTTGGGGGTCTCCGGAGCGCAGCGGTATGTTTACTATTACCGCTGCTGCCAATAAGGAGATGGGCTTTGAGGAAAATGCAGGCGAGCACACAAATTTCGCCATGGGCAAAGATCTCCCAGCGCTGCGCCAGCGGTTTGCCGCGGCTGGGTTCAAGTACGTGCAGATTTGGCCGTACCAGTGCGTGGTGGAGCTGTGGAGCGGTGAGGACTTCGCTACGTTTCACCAGGAAGTTTACCCCCTCGAGGACGACGAGCTTAAGGCCAAAAGATTTGCGATTGTCAAGCGTCTGGCCGATGAGTGGCTCGCTAAAGGCACCCCGATCGGTCTGGAGACCTACATCGTCCTGGCCAGAAAGTAGAATGGAGAGTTTAGGACTCTAGTTCGAGAAATTCTGGAAGTCTGCAACCTTTACTTCAACATGGTTTTTGGATAAGTTTTCCAAGATAACAGTTTTATCATAAGTTCATAACACGATTTGCAAGCGAAGTCATAGGGAGATGGTGTCCGTCGATTCCACGGAAAGCAATCATAAGCTTCAGTAGGGTAATGGATGCACTCAGTGATGGTGTGAAGAGAGACTGGTATAAAGGATTTATGGTAAAGTAAGTGATTTGTTCTGCTGTTGCCTGACCTGCCGTGTCACTGAAAACGATTCGTGGATTTTCGATACAGTTTTGCATAAACATAGATGTCGGCATCATCAGACTTCAATTATCATGAATTTCCCTCGAATCGCATGATTTTCTCAACCGACGGCAATTGAAACCGTCAACGAAGTGAACACCCAAGCCGCACCTTTAGACTTGTAATTTGTGCTCCCTACAAACCTGACGTTGACCCCTTGATTTCAAGGCGACAGCGAGCGAACACTTCTTCTTTCTCACTCCGATTTATTTTTCAATTCAACGCGCAAGTCCCAAGTGATCTCCGCCTCTTCAACTGCTCCGTACGCCATGCACTACGCTTCGACCGCCAAGATGATGGAGCGTTCCATCACGCTGCAATACTTTCGCCGCCATACCGTGAACCTGCTCAAGTGCCAGCGCTCACCGTTCCCGAGCTTATCGACCGGTTCGCGTCATCAGTCGCTGGGCATCCACCCAAGATCAACGACAAGGAGCCGAATGTCACTGACGAACCGGCGTATCTAGTTCACTTCAAACAGTCCCCTTCACATCATCCGCTTGACCCCTCAACGGCCGATGGGGAACCAATGTGGGAGAACCCAATCGTCTGTGATCTCGACAAGATCTCCACCATGGAGCTAACTCACCATCCTATCACCAAAATGCACGAGCGTGTGGCCCACTTGGCCGTCAAGGTACTTCGTACCGGTTTCGACGTGGTCTCCGGTTACCGTGGCCCGGGCGGTGGCATGACCGAGAAGGACTGGCTCAACCGTTGCCTCTTCCTCGAGTCCGTGGCGGGCGTACCCGGTATGGTGGGCGGTATGCTGCGCCACCTACGCTCGCTACGTAAGTTCAAACGCGACTACGGCTGGATCCACACGCTACTGGAGGAGGCCGAGAATGAGCGCATGCACCTGCTCATCTTCATGAACATCAAGCAGCCCGGCTACTTCTTCCGCACCTTGGTCTTGGGAGCTCAAGGTGTCTTCTTCAATGCCTTCTTCCTCACCTACTTGGTCTCGCCCAAGACGTGCCACCGCTTCGTGGGCTACCTCGAAGAGGAAGCTGTCAAGACGTACACGTGTCTACTTAAGGACATTGAGGACGGACACCTGGACGCGTGGAAGGAGAAGAAGGCGCCGCTCATTGCGCAGACGTACTACAAGCTGCCGGAGGACGCGTCCTTGTACGACATGGTCAAGTGTGTGCGCGCAGACGAGTGCAACCACCGCGACGTGAACCACGAGTTCGCGAACTTGGACCAAAAGACGGGTGTCAGTCCGTTCGTCCACAGCCACCACTTAGTGATGCAATGTGCTCATGGGGCTTCTGCTAACCAGCTTAGCTATCAGTGGTAATTCTGTTCCTTGTCGTAGGAAGTTGGATACATGTATTTACCTTTTTCGATTTCTTAAGAAACTCACAGAAATGTGACACTTTCCTGTCAAAAAGAATAAAAAATGGTTGAAGTAGCGGATCGATTGATTTGCTGCTTCCACTTCGGATTTATTGTTCAAGAGAAGAGATCCTTACCATATCAAATATCTGCCATGGTCGACCGCCTCGCGATGATGCGGAAGAATTGGAGCAACTTTGCTGCGATCTTCACGGAGACGGCGAACAAGCACATGACGCTGCAGTGTGCACGACAGCTGCACTCGCATATGGAGTTGGATCACGCTCACAATGTTCTTGAGGTCGCTGCAGGAGCTGGACTGGGCTCACTCGACGTTGCTCAGTACATGTTCGACGGGTGCTCCACACTACCTCAAGAGACTAAGCGGACGCTCACAGTCACGGACTTGTCGCCGGTAATGGTCAGGATGGCCAAGGAGAATTTCAGCAGCGTAGACACGAGAGGTGTCGACATCAAGGTCACGGTAGCCAACGGTACGTCGCAGTTTGCTTTACCACGTTTGCATTACTATTATAAAACTAAATTGATTTGTACAGGTCAGGACTTAGCAGACATCGCGCCTGGCTCTATGGATCGGTATGTTGCCAGTCTTTGCCTGCAACTCGCACCCGATCCTGATGCCATGCTTCGTGAAGCAAAACGCGTGCTAACCCCTAAGGGTATTGCAGGGTTCACGATCTGGGGATCTCCCGATCGAAGTGGAACGTTTGCCATTAACAGTGCGGCGAACAAAGAGTTGGGACTCGAAGAGAACACGGCGGAGCACTCCAACTTCGTTATGGGGAGAGATCTGCCAGCTTTGCGCCAACGTTTTGCACGCGCTGGCTTCAACCACGTACAGATCTGGCCGTTTCAGTGCGTCGTGGAGCTCTGGAGTGGGGAGCAATTTGCCAAGTTGCATCACGAAATGTTCCCACTGGAGCGTGATCAGGAAAGACTAAAAGACCGACGGTATGCAATCGTAAAGCGAAATGCTGATGAATGGCTTGCCACGGGATCGCCTATTGGGCTGGAAACCTACATCATCGTTGCTAGAGCCTCGGCTGGCAACCTCAAGGCGATGTTGTAAGCATTGCAATGAAATACCGACATTTTGTCACAATTTGTTTCCGCTTCATTTTCTACAATACATGTAATTAAAAATAATCAGATCGGATTATCAGATTTCACTCTGCAAATCTTTTTTCATCCCGACACTTCGCACCGAAGTTCGATGTCCTCCCCTTCCCGCCGCATAAACGCCGTGAACCGCCACCTCTCGAGTAATTCTGCCATGAGCTACACATCACCTGTGACTTCTCATATCCTCGACACTTCGCTTGGTAGCCCAGCCGCCAACGTGCGCGTGGAGTTGCAACATTTCCGCTCTGGCGAATGGATCCGCATCAGCGACGCAAGAACGAACGCAGACGGACGTGTCGCCAGCCACTTGGTGCCAGAAACCGCGAGCTTTGAACCAGGCACGTATCGCATGGTGTTTTATACCAAAGAATACTTCGCAGCCAACGAAGTCACGGAGTTCTTCTACCCGGAAGTGACCATCGTCTTCATTGTCAAGGACCCGACCCAGCACTACCATGTGCCCTTGCTTCTCAACCCCTTCGGGTATTCAACTTATCGTGGCAGTTAGAGTAAGCGCTGTGTAAGCTGGCATTGAGCCTATTTCAGTGCTAAGCTTCGGGCGCTAAAAGTCCTCCCACTGAAACCAACTACGAACATTGCTGGCACTGCAACAAATGCAAAATCAACACCTAGTGCAATATAATGCAGCAACTAGGTCGTAGCAACTGCGTCCTTACACTGGGAATGCGAATACAGTTTTTTCGAATTGGGCGCTTTTTATTTTCGACTTTTGATAGGTAAAATTTAATTTAGAACAAGTCGGTATCATCATCTAGTAATCGCGTACAAGGGACTTCACTAGGTTTGTTTACAATTTCTTACATAAATCTATCTGGTCAGCGTAATGTAACCTGGGTCAACATTGGTGTCACCGACAATTTTTTTTTTTTATAACTGCAAAAACGTATTTTTCAATGGTGAAGTTCGTGAGTGTTAGCGAAATATTCTCGGTCTTTGCTTTGTTTTGTTCGTTTCTTGTAACCTGGCGTTTTGCAGCATTAAAGCTCGGGGAAAAATGATAGCAAAAAGTCGCGTATTGTACGCTGACCGGCAGCTTGTGCGTGAAAAGGAAGCAAATAGTTGAGCGCGGCGTGGACACCAGCCATAGAGCTAATCTGATAAAAGGGTTCTTCTATGTTGCCTTACTTTCTATTGCAGTATCGAAGCCTTTCTTCTTTAGTAAGAAGAATTGCCACTGCCACCGAGTATTGTGCGGTGCATTGTGCAAATTCGGTCACTGAACAATACTTTCGACTATTCGCTGCCAGACCATTTTTCATCAAGTAGGAGGGTGTTTTCAGCAAATATGGCAGCAAAAGAACAAAATAAACAGCTGTAAAATGGATCTGCCGGAAGCCCAAGAAAAGCTTTTTGTGCTGCTGACACAACCGTGGAATTAACCCCTCATTCACTGATGTCGGAGGTTAATCCATTATGAGGCCTTCCCAGTTTAAATACTTTCTTGTCGCCGACCGACCCACAGAGCAAAGATATTCTCATAAACAATAAACTATTGAATACATCACAGATTTGAGAAGAACATTATATCCTGATATACTTTTTGCAATCCCCCTCCAGTCTTGCAGTAAAGGAAGTATTTCTCCAATAACTGCAATTCATTTTTGGTCATCACTGTCAGGAGCGATAGGAGCGTTGTCCACTTCTGGATCAGGGCCGTTAGCTTCATCAGACCTGCTTCTCTGCGTGTTTCACTGTGTTTGTTGTCGTGGTGTTTGAGAAAAAATTGCAGAGTCTGACAGAGACTCCAGCTTGGTTAGCCGTTGACTTGCTGGCAAATTCGGTTGTTTCGATACTTGTTCCAATGAAGACATTTCTTGGTTATTCTCTGACGAGAACATGCCAGTAGTTGCTTCTCTAGAGGTAGACCGCGCGAGTGATGGTATCTTGAATGATCGTTTACAAGCTACAGATATGTGTCGAGTCCTTCGTGAATTTTGCAAAGGTGGTGAAGTTTCTGGAGCCGATGAAGACTTCGGTAGCAGTTGCTGATAGTACGCTAATTCACTCTTTGCTTGCTCGCTCTCTTTCCTAACAGCGTCTTTCGCAGCTACAACCAAATTGTTAAAGTTCTCGAGATCAGCTTTCGTGCGAGCGTCCAGGGCTACCGTCTCGGGAAACAGCTCGGTGTCTGCAACTGAGGTCGAAGAATTGTCGGGCAGTTTACTCGTATTATTGTGATAATTACGTCGCCTTCGTAGCTTCAGAATCACCTCTCGAGCCTCGCGTTCGGACTGAATCAAAGTCACGACAGGCAGACGAACATTTGTAGTGGACGGGACGGATGATACTGGCGGACTTGATGGCAAGCTCTCTGTTCGCAAGTTCGAGGAGTCGTTCTTGACTGCGCTTCGCTCGATTGCCTCAAAGATTTTCAACGGTGGGGCTTTCACATCGGGAAGAGAAGCTGGATGCAGCAAACTCCTCTCTTGTCCAGGCGAGAAGACGTGTTTCCAAGCCTCGAGATGGATGACAAGCTTACTTAGCCGCGTGTTAATGACAATTCGATCCTGGAAGTTGTCCCAGGCGTAGTCGTTCTCAGTTACGCGTGGAGGTCTGAATTTCACAGTGAATGTTCGTGGTGCTTTAAGGCTCAACATGCTCTTGAATGGAAACGACGTTGCGTTATTGACTGACAGTTCAAATCGAGATGTTGAAGGGGGAGAAAGAACGATTGGGACGGATGCATCCTCTGGTGGCGATGCTCTGTCGAGAGCGAGATCGTTACTACCGTCGAGCTCGAGAACTCTGCATTCTCCTGGGAGTTTTGTTTGCAAGATACAGTAGCACGACGTTGATGTTTTTTTTTTCGCGGTTGACACTGATAAAAAGAAGAGCGACTTTACCTCGAAGTGGCTGTAGTTATCGAACAGCACTCGACCTCGCGATGCACGCAATACATACTCGTTATCGCAGATTAAGATCAACGTGGAGACCGCGGTCATGACGCCTCACGCTTAATTTTAAGTTGCTTTGGAAAAACCAAATTTAATTCCCTTAAAAAGAGGGGGACACAAATACATATAAAATCTATCGGATTCCCATCAATCTTTTTTTAAATGAAACCCCAGGCGGAAAGCATCGTCCCTGTGGATATTGATACGAGTCTGTCGGTGGACCACCTGGAAGAATTGATAAAAAAAACAAGAACGAGCGATTTTTAAAGAACGTGGACGCAAGGAAACTTCAAGAAGGACGGCGACTGGCTGTCGGGAAATGACACTGATCTGGCGAAAGGAGCGGTTCATCCCTCCGTTCAGGTTATGATCAGCTGAAGGTCAATTGGAGTCCAATTGACTGTCCCATTTGGACAGCTAACCCCCCAAACCCGAGAGCCTGCATGAGACACGATCCCGCGAAAAGCTCTCAGGCAGCTTTTATACGTAAAGTTTGTATTGGACCATAACGTTGTCGGTCAAGAAGGGTAGGCATATTTCCCATCTTTCCCGCACAGCAGTGCATAGTTATAGGTGTGCGCTGAACTTGGTTTTCTCGAAAAATAGAAGGCACAGGTTTGATGGGTGTCACACAAATCAGCATAGAGAATTGCAGGTGAAATTCCACTAATATCTCGGTCATTCGAGAATTTCCGCCGCTGCCGCTCAGATGTCCGGGTTTAGAGGCCGATGACGAGAGCTTTTGAAGGAAGGATGGATATCAAAGGCCCCTACGGGCCTGTCAAACGACAACACGTACCTTATGCCGGGGAAGACGAAGAAGGACGTGCGTGGCGTGGACATTTTCGTTGGAGAGGCTGCGCTGATGGTATATTTGGACGGTATCGCCTTGGGTAAGTAGTATCGCCTTTCAAGGTCTTTGTGTAGGCTCTAATACGTGTGCTTTGCTAGAGGAGACGAAGAAAGCTGCCGCGGCGAAGCAGCAAGCAAAATCAGAAGCGATTCAACCTACTCCGGAAAGTGGACAGCCTGAAACCGATGTGCCTAATAGACAAGATGGTGCGCTTGATCTTATTGTGTATGGACGTGTTATGATTCTAACGCTATGGTGTATATAGTTGCTGACCGAACTGTCAGTCCAGATCCAGACACGACGAAGACTGTTTGTCCAACCATTCAGGCTACCTCTCCACACATAGCAGAGAGTGATTTGGGCAATTCAGTCGGTGATGAAGATGTTGACGGTAAGCTGTCGAATACATTGCTTGTACCTGTGAGCTACTGCTAACGCTAACGTATCACTGCACTATAGGTGCGGACGAGTATACCACTTGTAGTTTACATGCTGAATTCGATACTGCTGCTACATCTGGCTCAGAGTATGCCTGCTCTGAGCCTGAGGATAGCGACGGAGGAAGCACGATGGCAGATGAAGAAGGGCAACCGGCCGCCATACGACCTGAAGAAGTGCAACCAAGCGTCAGCGTTGCACATGGAATCAGAAAGATGTTGGGTAAGCTTATGGTGTATATACACGTTAAGGGTACACGCTATTGATTTTTATAGTGTATGTTGATGTAGATGACCCAAACATTATCGCGCCTGGAGATAATCCAGCAGATTTTGCAGCACTGGATTCCGATGGTGGCAATGCGAATATGTCCATTTAAGATGATGATGAGTACTTAGGCCTCTGAGAGGCCGACGCCGTCGTGGAGGGTTCTGCTGCTGCTCCTGACTTACTTTTCGAGACATCTCTATTTGAATCAGTTGGCGGAGTTGGAGCACTTGCGCGCGGTAGTGTACACAAGGATGTTCTAAAGAACCTGAAGCTCAATGAATGGAATGGACCTGATACTCAATTGCCTTTTTCCCTACATGGACGAGCCGTACGAGGCTCGGACTGAGGCATGTCTTACGGAGGACTATCCCAACATTTACAGCGGGGATCACGGGCCTACTGAAGAAGCCCTTTCCGCTGCTTCGACCGCGTTGGGGTCATTCTTCTTGTTTGCACCTCCCCATCTTTAAGAAAACATTGCCGGAGCTAGTGACGACTATTTCCTTCACAATTTGGATAAGCGTGTTGGCGCACAGCATGCAAAGCAACAAGCCCGCCACCGGAAGGACAACAATTTTGAAGTGAAATCGCAAGAACAAATTTAGGAGAATTTATTGGCAACATCTGACATATCTGGAAAAGCGTTTTGTATTTTTATTGGCCTACTCATTGCCAGAACAATTGCGCCGAACAAGGAGAAATTTGACCACCACTGGAAGACTACCGACGAAGGCGCAATTCCGCGTGGGTGCTTCGGCCATTATATGAAGCGAGATCGGTTTGCTCATCTTTCCCGCAACATGCATTTCAGTCGCAATGATGCTCCTGAGGCAGCGACGGACCGCGCGTGGAAGCTGCGGCCAGTAATCATCGTAATGCAATATACTTTACAGCGCAGCTTTATACCGCCACCGGTCATGGCGTTTGATAAAGCGATGCTTCCGTCAAGATCGGCTTTCAATCGCATGAGGGTGTACATGAAAGATAAGCCTCACGAATGGGGGACTAAGCTCTTCACGCTGTGCTGTTCTG